TTCCATTTGTTTGTGTCAGTGGGATTTTTTTCGGCAGTGTTTTATAGTTCTCCTTGTAGAGTTCTTTCATCAATTTGGCTAAATGTATTCCTAGGTGTTTTACTTTTCTGTGTGGCAATTATAAAGGGGATTGTGTTCTTTATTTGGTTCTCAGCTTGAACATTATAAGTGTATAGAAATGCTACTAATATTTATACATTGATTTTGTATACTGAAACTTTACTGAAGTAGAAAGTAAAACTTTAAACCAGAAGTAGAAAATAAAGATTATGAATGTAAAATTATAGAAGAAATGGGCCAAAAGACACACACTAAACTCAGGACAGTGATTTTCTGGGAGTAAAAGCTTGGGGTGAAAGCAAAAAAGGAGGGATGAGGTTCATGAATAGACAGCAAATAAAACTGTTAATTCTGCATCATGGTGATATGGAATTCCAAAATATTAATCTTTGCTATTTTTTGGCATTGTTAAAAAAAAAAAGAAGTCTTAAGGAAACCACATGTTGTAACTGTGGATCAGTTTAAGTGCAGCAGCTTGGAGGAAGTCAAAGACTTGGGCAAAAGGCACATGAAATGAATGCTTTAAAAGCAAGAACCAGCTATTTCTATTTCAGTTGTCATATTAAGTAGAGACGCAATAAACTCTTGCAGGTGCAGGTTCGACTCTGAACATGCATCTACTTTCTTTCTGGGACTCCCAACCTCTCCAAGCAGCTATCTTTCTCTGAAGGGCCAAGATCTCTCTTGGGATTCTCTGTTGCTGTCTCCCTTGATCTATCCCTTCTTTGGGCAAGCCCCAGTAGACACCAAAGTGATTACGGCTCGTTGGCCTAACCTCAGAATGTCTAGCCTTTAGGTATTTTCAAGTCGTTTGGGCTCACTGAACCTTATAAACCCCTCTGTTGAAGACTACTGAATAAACTCCTGGGAATATTTGAAGAAGCAGCCTCAAAACAATTCCTCACCACTGCTGGCCTATGCCTGGGATGAGACTATGCATCCTTCACCTTCGTTACATGGGAGTGAGTTTCTTGCTCTATGGGCTGTTTGTCAGCTTTTCATCTCTCTTTGTAGAAGTGCTGTCATCCTTTCTTTATGACTCCAAGAGAACCTTTACTACCGGAGGAAGAATCTTCTACCACTTTGAGATGCTCCCAAAGAAATGGGATACCAAAAGAGTCAACTTCAGGTCACTGAAAGTGGCCAATCTGGAGGGTGACCTATGGAGACATGGTGAGAGTGGATGGCCTCTCAGGTCTCTTGTATCTCTGAGATTCAAGGATTCTGGGATGATTGGTGCTAACCCCTAAAATCAGCTTAAACCCTCGAAAACATGCATGGATAGGGGGCCTCTAAGCAACTAACAAATGTTTCAAGCAAAGGCGTAATGCTATTGGTAGAGATTCTGAGGTCAGATACCTTGTCAGATTAGCAAGGTATTTTCTAATGCTTCTGAGAGGCATCCATTACAGACAATCGTAAATCGCACCTGTGAATAAAGCTCTGATGCTGCTGCTTCCCCTGTAGTGCAGAACTGACCAGGGACTCCTCTGATGGAAAGCTCTTTGCTTCACAGCTAACAAAGGGAATGAAATTATTTTTGAGTTCTTTGAGGGATACCCAGAAATTAAACTTATTTTACTGTTTCTTGAAATCTCAAGTCACATGGCATCCATCTGGTATTTAGTGTATGCAATCTTGTTGATAAGTTGTTAGGCGCACAGGTTTTGTTTCCTCAAGTCATGTATTACCTTCTAGAGGGAGAAGCTGTGTCTTATACTTTGTGTCATTTACAGTATCTAGCAGGGTATTCTATGCATATTGGTGCTCAGTGATGGTTTATTAAATCATTGATATGAGCCAATATAGAGCTTGATAGAAATTACTAAGATAAGTTTGTTTTAAAGATGATATTCAATGTGTCTCTTCAATAAAGACAATACTTACTGTTTTTTGCTCTTTTATCTTCATAGTCCACTTCTATATGTTCTCCTGTGGGTCATAGGACTGTCTACACATCCATACAAAGTGCAAAACAGGGGATGACATTCAAGAATAAACTGTGGCAAAACAGCCTCAAATCAGCCAAGAAGACAAAATATGGAGGGAAAGTTGAATGAAATTAAATACCCAGAGTAATACCCCCTAAAGCACATCCCAAAACAAGGATTTGAATGCATGTAGCTCAACTGGGAGTTCACCCCAGAAGCCACTGGTAGAGGAGCAGGGAAGTGAGATGAGAAAGGAAGCCAGTAAATGGTGCCTGAAAGCACCTGGAGCTGGGGCATGTGGGAGAACGTTGGGAGGCAGTTTAGGACTTTCCCTGGAATATTGATTCAGCAGCTTTCATCAATAGTTCAGGCTATTTCTGGGAGCATTAACTCCTTGGCTTTTCCACCTTGCCCTATATGTTAGCGGAGTATGTTCCCAAGATCGGAAAAAGAGCCCTCCTCAATCAGATAGTCACAGGGGTTCCCAGTAAGCAGTGTTTGTCATGGTGTGTGGGAGTGAAGCCGGGAGGATGGACAGGTTTCAGAGTGGCCGCTGCAGCCGGCACACACACATGTGCCATGAGGGAATGCTATGTGCAGCCCGGGAGGGGACTCCTATGGTGGCAGCCCACATTTCTCCTTTCCTTGTCCCTGTCTCACTCTACCTGACCGTGGCGATTCAGCCTTGGCTCTGAGGTCAGCTTCCTCTGCTGCCCTCTTTCCTGAGCATTAGGTCAGGGCCCCCAGCTCTACTCCTGATGGCCAGGGAGAGCCATTTCTGGGCTCAGCACACTGGGGCAACTGAAAGGAGAACAGTGAAAGAAACGCTGTGTAACTCTAATCAGTTGTCACCTCTGCTAAAGTGGTATTTAAGGAGATTCAGCTCCCAGAGGTGTTTTAATAGGTGGCTCTCCATCTAGAAGTCTACAGGATTCAAAAGAAGAAATGTTTCAGGTGTGATTTGGGCACTTTGACAGTCTATTTGTGGCGGGGCCTCCAGAACATCACACACAAGCAGGAGATCCTGGCTCAGTTTCCTCCCTGGTCCTGGCTCCACAGCCTCCGTCTCCTCAGAAAGGGGACTGTAGGAAACCCTATTCCCAGGCCACATAGATGCAACAGTCCCTGTCTCAGTGTCCCATACCTGATCCCATCAACACTGCCAGTCCTCTGCTGGGAGCAGGGTTCTGGGAGAGAGGGAATTCCTTTCTGAGAGGAGCTAGGCTAGGTAGAGGCCATACAACCTGAAGGGTCTGAGACTACCTGGGTTTGCATCTCTGTCTACTTACCAGCTCTAGGTCTTTGGAAAAGGTATCTAAACTCACTATGTCTCAGTTTCTGTATCTGTAAAATGGGATAATAATAGTACCTTCCTCATAGGGTATATGAGGATGAAATGAGTTATTTTGTGAGATGTGCTAAGAACTGCTAGGAAATCCTGGCAGAGTAAGTGTTGTGAGATATATAGGACAGTAGTGTGGAGGTGACTGCCAGGGGATAGGGGCTCTAACAAGTGGTGGAGTCTACAAGCTGTGTGGCCTTGGAAGAGTCGTTTAACCCATTAGAATCTCAGTTTCTCTTTGTAATATTTATATAAAGTAGTTGTGAGAATTAAGTGAGGTAAGGATGTAAACTATTGAGCACAGAATTTGTCCCATATAAGACATTTTGAATAAATATTGGAACTGTAGTAAAAGGTCTCGCTGAGGATTTACCTTGTCTTTTGCACAAGAGATGAAGCCACTGTGGTGAAACTGAAGAGGAAGCTTTGTGCTTTTTGGGTGAGGGTGGGAAGGAGGGAAGATGAGGTAGGCATGGGGATGGAGTGGGGAGGGGAGAATGAGGAGCGGGAGTGGGACAAAGGGGAGCTGTGAGAATTTATCCAAAGGAAAGGACATCATTATATTGAAGGGCCATCTGCACCCCTGTGTTTATTGCAGCTCTATACGCAATAGCCAAGATCTGCAATCAACCTATGTGTCCAATAACAGATGAGCGGATAAAGAAAATGTGATCTATACACACAATGGAATATTAATCAGCCATATAAAGAATAAAATCCTGTCATTTGTGGCACCATGGAGGAAACCGGAGGATATTACATTAAGTGAAATAAGCTAGGAACAGAAAGCTAAACACTGCATATTCTCACTCCTATGTGGAAGCTAAAAAAAAGTTGATCTTATAGAAATAAAAAGTAAAACAGAGGATAAGCTGGGAAGGGTTGGGGGAAGGAGGGATAGGGAGAGATTTGTTAAAGGACACAAAATTATGGCTAGGTGGGAGGAGTGAGTTCTAGTGTAGGATGACTGTTTCAAATAGCTAGAAGCAGGATATTGAACAGGAGGAGAACCACTGGATTTCAAAGGCTGAAAAGAAAAATCTGCCTGCTTTCTAGGGGTTGGAGACACAGGAATGCAGATTATAGGGAATTGAAAGAGTCAGAGAGTTCTTGCTGTGCAAGTCAATTCTGACAGACAATCCCTGGAATCCTGCAGGATGACTGAGGAGGGAGGGAGGACGGATGAGCTCGGAACTGCTGTCCTAGAGCCCATGCTGGGGAGAGGCGTACACAGCACTCACTGAGCTGGGCACTAAAGTTGACCATCCTCCCTCACAGGACCAAACATATAGGGCCGGCGCAGGGTGGAGGGAACATCTCAGCCTATGGGCAGAGTTCAACAGCCATGTTGGTGACAGCAAGGAACCAGGCAGGAGTGGATTGTTCAGAGACCAGCGCTCTCCTTGCTGAATGTGGAAGGCAGGCTGGCCATTACTATTGGGCTGTGGTTATTTGGAAAATAGTGGACTTATTGCTTTATGGTATGTGGGTGACTGAGAGACCATTTTATTTATTTATTTTTTTGGTTGGTGGTGAGAGAAAGACAGAGAGAGAGAGAGAGAGAGAGAGAGAGAGAGAGATGCATGCTAGCTGTGGCCTGAATTAATGGAGCAGGTCTTTGCTCTGTGTCCTATTGGTAAAGATAGGAGAATTCTTCGGTGCTGTAGAGTTGCCACTTCCCACTGGGGTCTTCGGTCAGGAAAGGCTTCTGTGACAAGAAACCCAGAAGCTTCACATGCGCCCCTCCTCACACAGGATACTGACAACAGGCATTTGTAATGACTTCGAAATTCATGCACTGCGTTTCTCATTTAATTCTCATAATAACCCTGCAAACAGGCATTTCTCTCTATTTTGGAGATGAGAAAATTGAAGCCTAGAGAGGTGCAGTCGTTTGCCCCTGGTCTCATGATGGAGGTGGTGCTCAAACCCAGGCTGATTTCCAATTCCACCTTGCTTGCCGTATCCCATTCTCCCCCATGAGGTTTCACAGTGCCTGCGTGAAATGCTCTGGATGCTGGGGTTGAATACGATGGCAGTTCCAGTGCACACATTTTTCTTTCTTGCCAGGAGTCTAGGCTTCTTTAAGTGCATAAATAATACATAAATTAGTATGTTGAGCTGATTCCCACACTTTTTCAACAGACCTTCAGTTCTTCCTGAGATCAATAAAGCTTAAAAGAAAAGAAAAAGCCAACTCAGCTGGTGTGAGGATCCTGGACCCTGCTCTAATACAGACCCCGCTCCTGGAGTGTAAGCCATGCTTGACGGCTCAGCTTTCTTGTCACTAATGAGGTGGGATGTGGTTGTGCATTCAAAATCTAGTAAGGACAAAGTGAGTGCACCACTGATTAAACACGGAGAGAAATTTATTTCCAAGGGGCAGTGTAAGAGGAGAAGCGGGAGAGGTGTGTAAGATTTCTCATTTGTGCAATGCATCCTCTGAACCATTGTGGTGCCACGGGCTGCCGAACTTTCCACAGGAGCCATTAGGGATGAAATCACACTGATGGGATGAAAAGAAAAATAACCAGAGACAACAGGAATAGCTCAAAACACCAGAAAAAGCAGCGACACTGTATCTATCCATCACTGGCCCAACTCGACATCTGGAAACGAACCCCGGGTAGCTGCTAACAAATGGCCCCTGGGTGTAAGTGGGAGGAGGCACCTGTCCAGGCACACACAGACCTACACTGGCTGAATTTCAGCCCCGCTCATGCAGGAAACCCTCTTCCCAGCTGTACATGGTGCCCTGAGTATTCACATGTAATTCTCTCATCTTTCCACCCATTCTTTTTCTCTTATTTTCCTTTTTTTAAAGGCAGGCTTGATAGCTAGCTTTTTTTTTTTTTTTTTTTTTTTTAAGAACCATGAAGCTGCAGCCTCTGACATGATATGTAGATAAAAGATGTCATGGGGATAAGAGCTAGAGAAACTTTAACGAGTAGAGCTTAGACCATTTTCAAAGCTCCTTCACAGTGCACGGAGGGGCCCAGAGCTGGCGGAGCGCTGGATGACACGCTCCTGCTCGCACCAAGGCCTCGCTCTGATGAGCTGGGCAATTGGGGGACTGTTTGAACAGACCAAAGAAAAATATCAAAAGGCAAATTGGAGTCAGGGAGAAAATGAATAGCCCATGATCTCCAAGGGAGATTACAGAGGTAATGACAAAGCAGTCAGGTTTTTAAAGGGGCTGTTATTCCAAGAAAGGTAATTTTGTTCAACTTCTTTTTTTTTTTTTAACTGAAAAGAGGATGAAGAGATCAGCACTAGCTAAATCATCACTGTCAGATAAAAGATAAATCTTTCATTAGGAACCGTATCTTTGCGTGCTCTTTTGACATTGAAGAATATATTTGATGTAAGGATTTGGGGCTTTATCAAAACTATAGTATTCTAAAATAAACAAAACCACAATGTCATGTTTTATTGGAGAACAGCCATAAAAAAATGAAAAGAACTTTTAAGATTAATAGCACATTTTTCCTATAGGAGCTTTGCTCTTTTTGATAGTTTTTTAAGATCCATACTCGTGGAATGTTTGCATATTCAGCAAACATAGGCTTAGATAACAAGAGGAGCTGCCATTAATCCCTAGAGAGTCAGACTCCATCTTGTCTTCCAGTGCCTGCCAAGCTTGAGAACGGAGAAAAGAAACTCTAACCTAGAAGAGATTTTCATGAAACTGTCCTGCTGCTCTGCCTCCTGGGACTTGGTGTTTCCACCAGGTCCCTTCTTCCTTCCTCCATCCCCCCTCTCTTTGGTCCCCCTCTTACCTGGCCTGGACTGTGCTCCTGCCAAGTCTCCCTGGGACTGGCATTGTGCCCATGTCATGGCTCCTGCCTTTGCTTCCCTAAGCCTGTGCCACATCACCGCACAGTCTATTCCCATACCCCTGGGGAGAGCTCTGCCACCTGGCTGGTCTGCCAACTGGTTACCCTAGGCTGTAATTCCTGGGTTCCTTTCCTTTCATCAGCCCCTAGCTTCTCTGGACATGACCTTCTGACTGGCCAAGTCTCCTCCTCCTGCCTGCAGCTGTGTTCCCACCTTTATATCTGTCCTGCTCTGGTAGACAAATACCTTCATTAGGTTTCTAAACCCTTGATCTGGCTTATCAAAATGCCACTCCTTTAGGAAGAGTTCATGGATCTTCATTGAACTCTGCCATTAATAGACTCAGAGGCCCTGTCTGTGTTTCTCCTCCATTTTCTGGTGACAGACTCCTCATCCTCCACCCAGTGTTTTTTTCTCTACCAAAAGTCTTCATTACTCAGTGCATGCTTCCTTAGAATGTCAGCTTCCACGTGGCCCATCTTAGCCACCATGTCTCCTCTCTCTCCCTCTTTATCCCTTTCTCTCTCTATAGGTTATAGGTTTACCTTTCAGCTTCCCTTAATTATTGCCTCACTCTCTGATATTTCTGAGAAATTTTATTTGGCCAGCTTACATCTTTTATTTATTTATTATTTTGCATGAAGTTCAAAACATATAAACAAAATGAAAGAGGAAGAGAATTCACCTACAAATTGCTTGTTTGTGGGACAGGTGCCTACTTGTAGTCTAATCAGTCTGGCTACAGGTTGTCCATTTACAGAAGGTGCTGTGGATGTGACACAGTTTCTAGGAAGGTCTTAGGGTGAAGCAGCATCATGGCATGTCTAGTATTTACCATACTTTTTTTTTTGCTATAAAGTTTAAACTGAGAAATAATGCAAAGGATCTAGCTATTTCAGATGCATTCAAAAATGGCCTCAGATCTTTATACTTTATCACAGTTCACCAAGTCATCCAATCCTCAGGGAAATAAAATTAATGAAATCAGATTCTGAAATTCTGAAAAAAAGAGAAAACACACACTCAAAAAACAAAACAAAATAAAAAACTCTGAAGAGGCAGCTTTGTGCAGTAGAAGAAGTAGTGAATGAGCACCAGAAAACTGGGCTGTAGTTGCCTGTAGTGCCTTGCATGAGGCATTTCTCTGGGGCTGTAGTAGACACTGTGACCCCACCACGATCCTCATCATGGGCCCGTGGACCCATCTCTCAGCTGTTGCGGCACTGAGTGCTAACAGCTCACAGCTGTTCCTTTCTCTGAGAACCATCCACTGCTGATAGCAGCTCCCCACTTTTTGGGGAAAAGCCTACAGCCAGAGCCCTTCAGGCCTGGACTAAACCTTCTTGAGGTCACATCCTTAACCAGCACTTTCCTCTTCTTTAAACTGCTTGTCTTACTCCCTCAGATGCTTTTCCTGAAGAGCACTCCCTCAATAAATCATGGGCACCTGAATCCCTGTCTCAGGTCTGCTTTTAGCGAATATGTGACCTAAGATAGCAACTCAGTTTACTTCTCTGTGAAGTGAAGTAGGAGGCTGGGCTGATTATCTCTGGGGTCCCTTCCTACTCCGATATTCCTTGGTTCTTTTTTGTTCATTATCTCACTTCTGTTTCCAAAATAGACCAAGCTTAGAGGGAAACTGGTGATAGTATTGGAATAGCTGCGTTTCCATGTAGCTTACTACATAACTCACATAAGCTAAGGGTGTCTCAGCCAATCAGATCTCAACACTTCCTTTGGTTACCCCTGGCAATGGGCTTTGGAAGTGTTGCAGGGGTGAACACTGTGGTGTGATTCTTATCAGTGTGCTTATATTGTACACACACAAAGTTCCTGGCTTTCTGAACCATGCAGACATTTCAGAGTGCTGAGTTCCTGGAATGTGAACTGTTCAGTCACTTCTATCAGCCTGACTTGGTACTTGTCAACATCTAGGCAGGTATTCGGAAGTCTCACATGGTGCTCTTCACATAGACAATGTGAAAGTCATTTAGAGCAATAGGCAGACTGTGTTCCAAGGTATTTGTATCTAAAAAATGTTAGTTGCACATGATTGTATTATTTTCAGTCTTGGCTTGGATCATGGAAAAACTGAAGATGCATTAGATCATCAAAGTTAATGGCACAAACAACCCTGCAAAAAAGGGCTCTTCTCCCAAATTCAATCTCTTATAACATAACTCCTCCAGAGTAATTTTTCTAACCCCCCAGTGTCTCCTGTTTTGTCCTTAAAGGTTACCAGTCCGGGCAACATGGTGAAACCCCATTTCAACAAAAAATACAAAAAAATTAGCTGAGCGTGGTGGCATGTGCCTGTAGTCCCAGCTACTCAGGAGGCTGGGCCTGGGAGGTCAAGGCTGCAGTGAGCCATGATCATACCACTGCACTCCAGCCTGGGTGACAGGAGACCCTGTCTCAAAAAAAAAAAAAAAAAAAAAAAAAAGTGTTAACAGCCTTTGCCAGAACTTTATCATATGACTATTGCCAAGTAGCCATCAGTGACTTTCACTTAGGAAACTATATTAAACGAACCTACTGAACATGCAGTTCTTGGTGTGGAACTCACGATCTGACTACTTTCTCTTCTACTGACTTCCCCTTGTTAGCATAACAAGGCACTCAACACTCCTGTGGCTGAATGAGTTTAGTCATCATTGTGAGATAATAATTATTCCCAAAGGGTTCTCTGAGGGTTGCTCAGGGAATACTTAGAAAGTGCTTGCTGCACCCCCAGTAGGGCTCTAAGTCAGCTCACAGTGTTCCTTCTAAACACACAGAGGTAGCTGGGGATCATAGCAACATTGAATTCAGAAGTAAGTGGCTTTCTGCTATTTTTGTCCCCAGATCTGAACGGTCCCAAGCAGAGACCCCCTAGGGAGCTCCCTCTGCCTTGGGCCTTGCTTTGAGCTCTGAATGGGGTCTATGGTGGGAGAAGATAGGAAGGTGTAAGATTGGCATCTATGTATGGACTTTGTACTAAGGGGCCTGCCTGCCTTACGCCAAAGAGACCCATGGAGTTGACTCACGGCTCCTTTTATTGTGTGCTGTGTGTCCTCTTCAGTTCATTTTCCTAAATTCCAGGGCTATCCAGCTTCCAGGGTTCAGGAGAGGTATGGTTCAATGGAGATCGTACTGGGAGACAGAAGGCCAGGCTCTAAAGACCAGTGTGAGCTTGGCCAAGTCAGTTGACCAATCAGGACTTGGATTTCTTCACCTGAAACAGAAGGGGCTGAAGAGAAAATGCCTCTTTTAATTGTAGAATTGTGCCATTTTAGATGTGGTGAAGTCCCAGAAATCATCAAGATCAACCTCCGCATTGATGGATGAAGAAATGGGGTTGAAGTGTCACTTCTGCTCCTGCCAGGTCTGTGCTCAGAGTCATGCAGCATGGGAACTCACATCACTGTGACTCCTGATAGTGCACTTGCCAGGTTTGGTGCTCACCCCAAACTTTGATGATGTTGGTGACCCAGAGTCAGTTTCGGGGTTTACCTTGAAAGTAGACTTTGGGACCCTCTGGACAGTTCCCGGCACCTAATTTGCAGGTACTACTCTATCTAGTGTAGGAAGAGTGGGTGTATAAAGATTAATTTTAAAAATTTAGGTTATTGCCAAGTTCCTTACATACCAGATGCTATAATTTGAATGTGTCTCCTCCAAAATTCAGGTATTAAAACTTAATAGCCAATGTGATAGAATTAAGAGATGAGGCCTTGAAGAAGTGATTAGGCCAGCAGGGCTTCTCCTTCATAAATGAGATTAAGGCCATTATAAAAGAGCCTCATGCAGCAGTGTTTGGCTCTCTTACTGTTCTGCCTTCCACATGGGAGGATTCAGCATTCTTCCCCTCAGGAGGACACAGCAACAAGGCACCATCTTGGAAGCAGAGAGACAGGGCCCTCACCAGCTGGCACTTTGATCTGGAACTTCCCAGTCTCTAGAACTATGAGAAATAAATTTGTTCTTTATAAGTAATCCCAGTTCCAGGTATTTTGTTAAACCAGCACTAAGACTCCTGAGGAGAAGACGAGGGGTTCATTGGCACAATACTTGGTTGGGTGGTGGTAGCAGGGGGCACTGGGTCTGTGTCCTGGTCAGAGCATAGCACAATGAAGGTGGAGAGAAGATGAGAATGATGCCTGGTTGGTGATAGAAGGATATGGGTTTTCCTCAGCACACTTCCTGGTGTTACTGATTAAAGGGCTGTGGACTACTTCTACGAAAGAGTCAGATCTTGGACAGGTTCACTAATTCAATAAGCAGGGACACTATGTGAGTTGTTTTCCAGGGCTGAGCTGAAAGTATACTTGATTGTCCTACAATGATGGTGTTATAGAGTATGGAGACCCAAGATTAACCTTTCCAAAGCACTTGCTGGGAATCACTCTGGGTGTGGGTGTGGAGAAAGGAGAGAAAAACAGAAAAACTCAGAGACAGAGTTTGAGGAGGACTTTGTAACTGAAGGTTTCTACCATCCCTTGGTAAGTGTGTCCCTTTAAAGAAGAAAGGGGCTGGCTCCCATATGGATCTACACATCCCTGGGGAAGATATCAGAATTTTCCATTAATAAACTTAGGAGTTTAAAGATCCATAAAGTCAATGTATGTGGGGAATTGAGTTGGTAGTCAAACCCTTGAATTAAAGCTTGATTTCAGAGTCTTAGTAGGCGTGGGTGAGGTGAGAATGTCATGGGTGCCTCCCCAAAACAAATGAATCATGGAAAAGACCTTGAATCATCCAGCCCCACCTTCCTCCCACCACAGGAATCCCTCACGCAACAGCTCAATCAGATGATCCTGTAGCTTCTGTTTCAATTCTTGCATTGACAGGAAACTAACAAACCTCTTAACAGTGATAGGCTTTAACAACCCACTATAGCTGATGTTAATTGTTAGAGGCTGCTTCCTTGCATGAAATTAAATATGCCTCCCCTTGGCCATAGTTCTGCTCTCTAGAGCTGAACAGTGATATTGACTTTCAACATGCTGTCATTCCAAAGAGAGCTATTCAGCCCCCACCTTACTCTTCCCCCACTGTTTTCTTTTTCAGGCTAAATCTCCTCAGTTCATTCCCTTGTTGATCATAGAACACATCTCTAGACTTCTCTGGGCTCCTTTGGATGTCTTCTGATTTGTCAGCATGAGCTATGGCCTGGCCTCTTTCTTCTCTCTGAAAGCCAAGAGGATCATAGCACTGAGCTTTTCCTGCATGTGGCAGTTAGGAGTTTTCTGAGCCTTCCTGAATGATTTTTTGGCAGTCTGGCCTGCCCTGTGCCTAGTGACCATTTATGGTTGCCCAAAGATGGGAGTTCTTTGCCAAGGTGGGGATTGTCTGGCCCGGGAAGCTGGCTTTCCCCAAGAAGTGTAGGGGAACTAGATTGGAAAAGACTTGCCTGTGCTATTCAAGGATCTGTCTACTCCTTAAAATAGTCCGCTCCTCTCATTTTCCCACAGATCATGGCCCCACTGTGGCCCAATGCCACAGCATAGAATTAATTTTGGTCCTAAAGAAGAGTAGATAAGCATCTAGCATTCCTGATATTCATCCGTCCATCTATCCAGCCATCCAAACATCCATCTATCCATCCTTCCTCACATGAATCATTTATCAGCATGCACTGAGCACTGACTTTTTCATAAGCCATGAACTAGGCAGGGAAATAGGACCTGTGAGATGTGGGTTCCTGCTGAGGAATCTCTCTTCTCTTCCTGAGCGCCTTCTGTAAGTAGTCAGAGATTCAAAGAAGGCTTAAGAAGAGTCAAGAAGATTAAGGCAGAGCCTCAAGAAAGTCACAATCTAAAGTAAGTTTATAATGAAACATTTCAATGAGGGGTGATAAGGTTTGGCTGTGTCCCCACTGAAATCTCATCCTGAATTGTAGTTCCCATAATCCCCACATGTCATGGGAGGGACCCAGTGGGAGATAATTGAATCATGGGGGCAGTTATTCCCATGCTCCTGTTCTTGTGAAAGTGAGTTAGTTCTCACAAGATGTGATGGTTTTATAAGGGGCTTCCCCCTTGGGCCAGGCACGGTGGCTCAAGCCTGTAATCCCAGCACTTTGGGAGGCCAAGGCGGGTGGATCACGAGGTCAAGAGATTGAGACCATCCTGGTCAACATAGTGAAACCCCGTCTCTACTAAAAAAAAAAAAAAAAAAAAAAAAAAAAAAAAAAAATTAGCTGGGCGTGGTGGTGCGTGCCTGTAATCCCAGCTACTCAGGAGGCTGAGGCAGGAGAATTGCCTGAACCCAGGAGGCGGAGGTTGTGGTGAGCCGAGATCGCGCAATTGCACTCCAGCCTGGGTAACAAGAGCGAAACTCCATCTCAAAAAAAAAAAAAAAAAAAAAAAACGCGGGGTGGGCGGGTCTTCCCCCTTCCCTGGGTACTCAATCTCTCTCCTGTTGCCCTGTGAAGAAGTGCCTTCCACCATGATTGTAACTTTCCTGAGGCTTCCTCAGCCCTGTGGAACTGTGAGTCAATTAAACCTGTTTTCTTTGTAAATTACCCAGTCTCAGGTATTTCTTCATAGCAGTTTGAGAATGGTCTAATACAGTAAATTGGTACTGAGGGAGTGATGCACTGCTATAAGGAAACCTAAAAATGTGGAAATGACTTTGGAACTGGGTGACAGGCAGAGGTCGGAGCAGTTTGGAGGGCTTGGAAAAAGACAGGAAGATGTGGGAGAGCTTGTAAGTTTCTAGAGACTTGTTGAATGACTTTACTAAAATGCTGATAGTGATATGGACAATGGAGTCCAGGCTGAGGTAGTCTCAGATGGAGATGAGGAACTTGTTGGAAACTGGAGCAAAGGTGACTCTTGATTTGCCTTAGCAAAGAGCCTGGCAGCATTTTGTCCTTGCCCTAGAGATTTGTGAAACTTTGAACTGGAGAGAGATGATTTAGGGTATCTGGTGAAGAATTTTTTAAGCAGCAAAGCATTTGAGAGTGACAGAGCATGAAAGTTTGAAAACTTTGCAGCCTAATGATGCAATAGAAAGGAAAAACCCATTTTCTGGGGAGAAATTCAAGCCTGCTGCAGAAATTTGCATAAGTAACAAAAAGCTGAATAGTAATCATTAAGACAATGCGGAAAATGTTTCCAGGAGGTGTCAGAGACTTTCACAGCAGCCCATCCCATCACAGGCCCAGAGGCCTAGGAGATAAAAATGGTTTCTGGACCCAGGCCCCCACTGCTGTGTGCAGCCTAGGTGCCCTGTGTTCCAGCTGCTCTAGCCATGGCTAAAACAGGCCAAGGTACAGCTTGGGCCATGGCTTCAGAGGGTTCAAGCCCCAAGCCATGGCAGCTTCCATGTGGTGTTGAGCCTATGGGTGTACGGAAGTCAAGAATTGAGTTTTGGGAGCCTCCACCTGATTTCAGAGGATTTATGAAAATGCCTGGGTGTCTAGGCAGACTTTTGCTGCAGGGGCAGAGCCCTTATGGAGACCCTCTGCTATGGCAGTGTGGAAGGAAAATGGGGTTGAGTCCCCACACAGAGTCCCCACTGGGGCACTGGCTAGTGGAGCTGTGAGAAGAGGGCCAGTGTCCTCCAGATCCCAGAATGGTAGATCCACCAACTGCTTGCACCATGCTCCTGGAAAAGCTGCAGACACTCAATGCCAGCCTGTGAAGGCAGCCAGGAGGAGAGTGTACCCCGCAAAGCCATAGGGATGAAGCTGCCCAAGGCCGTGGGAGCCCACCAGGTGGAGCCCACCATGTGGTAGCCCTCCACCTGGGAGCATCTGAATGACCTGGATGTGAGACATGGAGTCAAAGGAGATTATTTCGGAGTTTTAATTACTGCCTCATTGGATTTTGGACTTGCATGGGGGTTGTAGCCCCTGCATTTTGGCTAATTACTCCCCTTTGGAATGGGTGTATTTATCCAATGCCTGTATCTCCTCTAGGAGGTATCTAACTTATATCTAGGAAGTAACTTACTTGCTTTTGATTTTACAGGCTCATAGGTGGAAGGGACTACTTGCTGTGTCTCAGAGGAGACTTTGGACTTGGACTTTTAGTTTAATGCTGGAATGAGTTAAGACTTTGGGGAAAGGTTGTAAGGTCATAATTATGTTTTGAAATGTGAGAACATAAGATTTGGGAGGGGCCGAGGTGGAATGATATGGTTTGGCTGTGTCCCCACCCAAATATAATATTGAATTGTAGTTCCCATAATCCCCATGGGTCATGGGAGGGACCAGTGGGAGGTGGTGATTGAATCATGAGG